AGATGTTTTTTCAAAAAATTAAATATAGATTGCAGTGAATAATATGGAGGAAATGACAAGGTGCTGTGATGTCATAAGGCTGGGACATTTGTTTTGATGAGTAGTCAGGGTGGGCTTCTCTGAGGAGGGGACATTTAAGCTGAGATGAAAAGGAGGAAAAGTAGCCTAGTGGAGGAAATACATCCCAAGCAGAGGGAGCCGACTGCACAGGGTTCTGCCATGGGAAGGAGCTTGGTGTGTGCTAAGAACTGATAGGATTCCTGCATGCAAGGGGGAGGGTGCCTCCAAAGACTGGACAAGCAGAGGTCCGGTCAAGCAGGGCCGAATGGGTCAGAGTAAGACCACAGACTTTATTCCAAGTGCAGGTGGAAGGCACCAAAGGGCAGTAATATGGTCTGATTTGTCACAGTAAAAATTACCCTGGTTGCTCTGTGAAAACCAGGCTTAGAGGGGCGCAGAGGTGAGGCAGAGAACCCAAGTATGAGGCTCTTATGGTGTCCAGGTGAGAAGTGCTGGCAGCCTGGACCTGGATGCTGGTGGCAGAGATGACAAGAAGGTTTAGTAGATGGGGTTTGCTATGGAATGGATGTGGAAGACAAGGGAAGGGAGGAGTTACCGCTGACTCAAGACGTGTCAGCAACTGGGTGATGGTGTTGCCAGCTGCCAACGAGGGAGGAAGAGTGGATTTGGGAGACCTCAAAAGTTCTGCTTTGGACATGTTACATTGAAAATGCCTGATAAGTAGAGATGTCAAATAGACAGGTCCAGAGATCCAAGGAAAGGCCTGGAGATAAAGATTTGGAAGTGTTTCCCATGTAAGTAGTTTTTAAGAAAATAAATGGGAATGGAGAGAATCAAGTAAAGCAAGGGTAGGATATAAAATATGGTCCAGGCCCAAGTCCTAAACACTCCCAGTATGTAGAGGTGAAATAGAGAGCGAGGAGTCGACGCAGAAGACTGAGGGGAGGCGGGTGAAACAGGATGAAATCCGGGCACTCAGGAGTAAAGATGTGCTCAAGGAAGAGGAAAAGGTGCTGACAGGTAAGATCAGGACAGAGGGACCTTGGGATGAGGCAACACCGAGATCACCAGTGACCTCCTGAGCAGTTTCAGCGGCGACAGAAGCATGGTTGGGGTTAACGAGTAATGGAAGGTGAGGACGAGAGGAACCACATATGCAGACAATTCTCTCAATGATTAATTCCATATAATGAGCAATTACTAAGAAATTCCAGGCCTTGTGGCTGCATGGCTGTGACTCCCTGCGGTTTGGTCTGATTATAGCTCCTCTGAAAGGTTTCCTGGCTGGCTGCAAAGCCACTCACTGCCTCATCAAGACCCAAGATCGGGCTCTCGCCCTGTTGACTCCCCCAGCTCCTCATGGGTGTCTGGACTGTGATTAAAGTACCGCTGCTGGTCTTTTCATGTTAAGGAGAATGCAACCTCCTTAATTGCTCAGAGGGCCCTACTTCCCGACGGCCCGGGCACACTGACGAGCACTACCGCAGAGGCCAGCTAGCTCCGTCTCTGGCCCAGCTCAGTGGCAAGCCACCCTGGCTTTTCTCGTCACCTGTGGACTCTCATCATGAGTCTGCCTCTCAGATTCCCTGTGTATATGCCACAGCTTAAAATTGTTTCAGTTGAAAAGAAGAAACACCTCCCTGACTGTGTGGTTAGAGTAAGATTCATAGGACCTTTTGTGACCAGAAATAACGCTCATTTTTAGTGAGGTGGACGGACCTGTAACTGAACCACACATGTGCGGAGTGACTTGGGTTTTCATAGTAACAGTATAATCCAGCATGTCTTTTTACTTGATGGTCTATGCGTATATATTTTTTTTTTTTTAAGAATTTTTTTTTTTTTAATTTTATTTATTTATTTATTTCCCCCAAAGCCCCAGTAGATAGTTGTATGTCATGGTTGCACATCCTCCTAGTTGCTGTATGTGGGACACAGCCTCAGCATGGCCGGAGAAGCGGTGCGTCAGTGCGCGCCCGGGATCCGAACCCGGGTCACCAGCAGCAGAGCGCACGTACTTAACCGCTAAGCCACAGGGCCGGCCCTCTAGGCGTATATTCTTGAGTGCCTTTGCTACTAGGAGTTAAAAAAAAAAACAAGGAAGGGATTATGCAGTTTTGGGCGTTCCGGAAAACATCGTGTGCAAGCATTACTGTCGAGGGGCAAATGGAACATGTAGGGTTTAATTTTTACTTTCTCATCTATGTGTGGAGCCTATGAAAGTGCTCATTTTAGCCTTATTATCTCATCTAGATGAACTAAATTCTTCCTTAGCTGAAGGCCAAGCAAGCATTTGAATTAGAAACTGGAAGGAACAGGATATGAATCGTTGAGGTTCCAAAGTGACGTGGATGAGCAGGCTTATGGTTCTTATCCAGGTTGTCCTTTGAGAATCTGAGAAAAGCTGTAGGCTTCAGGCAAGTATGCCCCTGCAGGTATAGATTCAGGGAGTTCCAAGACCACAGGAAGTGCATCTGCAGACCCAGGTGAAGGACACTTCTGCCTGACCAGAGTTTTCCAAAGTTGCCTGATAAGAAGAATCACCTGAGGCACTTCTTAAAGTACTGGTCCTGGGCCTCGACCCAAACCTCCGGAATCAGAATCCAGGAACACCACCTGGTACCGTTACTGTGAACACGTGCTAAGAGCAGCACTCCACTGGTAATGGAATCTGAGTCACAAGTGCAAGCCACAGGTGTAGTTTTAAATTTCTAGTAGCCACAGTTGAACCTGTAAAAACCCAGGTGAAATTAATAACATATTTAGCCCAGTATATCCAAAATATTATCATTTCAACATGTAATCAATATTTTTAAAAGTATTGAGATATTTTACATTCTTTTTTTCATAGTAAGTCTTCAAATTCTAGTGTGTATTTTACACTTCCAGCACATATCAGTGTGGACCAGCCACATTCCAAGTGCTCAAATGGCCGCCCGTGGCATGTGGCTGCCACACCGGCAGTGCCGGTCTAGAGTTGTTACTTCCCCGTGGGTTAGCGTCTCTGTCAGTCCAGATCAGCGGTGCTGGAGGCAGCACTCTTTTACTACAGGTGTCTGCCTCAGTCAAATAACAACAGGTAAAGTAACCCACGTTTGAGGTTTGTTCTTGTCTTTATATCTTTAAATGAATCAGCATCCTCGTTCCATCCTGGAGCTGGTACAAGCAGTTCACTCAGCTCCCAGCAGCGGCTTTCCCCCATAACCATCCCCATCCCCACCCCCCCACCCGGGGTTGGGCAGGGTCTTGGAAAGCCTCTCCTGTCTTCAGTCCTCCACTAGAGGCTGCAAGGTCTGGAAAGTTCCCTCCGTTACCTGGGGGCCTGGGGAAGGAAGCCCTTTGTTTTGTGGTGAGGCTGGGATTTCCATGCTCTCCCAGTCTGCTGGTGGGGCAGGGGTGTGGATGTAATTGGGGGTGGGGAATCGTACTGCTCTGGGTAGTTTTTTGTTGTGAATTTATTGAGTTCATGGTGACATTTTAAATTCTCTTCACGATTTTTTCCCCTCTGCGCTATTAATCCACTTTAGAATAAAAGATAAAAGAATTGAAACCGTTTAACAAAATGTAGTAAAATAACCTTTCCCTATTCGTTATAGCCAGAGGGAAGGGGAAAAAAAATCTTTCATGCTGTCCTAACCTTCCCTCAGCTGACAGAGGGCTGCCTGAAAGGCTGAGAGTGTTACCACAAAAAATTGGGTTTACTTGCCCGGTGCGCATAAACAAGCCCACTAATTACGGCACCAGCTTTTGGGAGAGAAATCAGCTTTTTTCTTTGAGCTCCATCTGCAGAGAGGGCAGGGGGCGTGTGCCCTCAGATCTGTCTCACCGATTCAGGATTTGGGGTGAAATTTAAAAGGTGAGGGAAAACAGGCTGGCGCTCGGAAACACTGGTGGGACAGGTTTTGATTGGTGGGCTTCAAGCATTTATGGTAAGGTTTTAAACATTTATGACAGGATTCTAAACATTTATGATGGGGTTCTAAACATTTCTGATGAGGTGGGGAAGGAATTTTAACACCAGATTTTCCTGAATCAGGGACCCCTCACTTCTGATAATCCACCTTTCAAGTTCTGGTTGTGTTCCGTGAGGAGGATCTTTGGTCTCGAGGTCACTTCAGGTCAAGATTTCTTCTTTTGCACATGCTCTGGCTACGTGACTTTGCAGATTTTCTGAAAGGCAATTCTTAATCACTGTTGATAAGAGATGGGGTCAGCTGAACTGGTTACAAGAGGATGGGTTGGGGAGGGAGGAGGAAAGGAGCCGCCCCCCCCAAGACAGCATTCCCACTTCTGGTAGGAAACGGTGCCACTCTTGGATTCCAGTAGGGAAGGCAACCAGATCCAAGGAGATCTCCTGGTGGCTGCTAGGGCCCAGGAGAAACCCACATTCCTCAGCAAAGTGGGAGACACTTGCTGGAAGGCTCTCAGCGCGCCCTGGCTCCTGCTTCCTCAGGGTGGGTGGGAGGAAGAGCTGAAGAATGATGAGTCATCGGGACGTCAGGGCTGGTTGTTAGGCTTCAATTAAAAAGATCTTTCCCCCTCCGTCCTCACTCACAAAAGCAGGCCTGGATTTTTGTGTTGCAATTCCTTTCTTCATTAATGAGTTTGGAAAGCTTGACTTGCATTTAGAGTAGCTGGAGGGAGAAATGTGAAAGATCTGAAAAGCCAGGGAGGGGCTGAACCATCTGAGCACCTGAGTCCTCCACCCCCTACCCCCAGTCACCCTCCCACACCCTTCCTAGAGGAAGCATAACCACTGAGACTCATCTCACATACTTTACAAAAAGCATACACAATTATGAAAATTTCAAGCAATGCAAAAGTGAGTACAGTAGAAAATGAAAGATTCCATCATCCCCCTTCCGAGAGTTAACCATTGCTGAGTGTTTAGCCTTCTGGTCTATTGTTAGAGTATATCAGCTATTCACACTCAAGATTTTTAATTGTTTTTGCAAAAAATGGCATCCAATAGAACTCACCCTTTTCACTTGACAGTATATCGGACACCCTTCCGTGCCAGTGCATGTCCATCTGTGTTTTTTTCAACCATTACAGAGCATTTCAGTGGAACCCACAGACCTTCATTAACTTAACCAGTTCACTGTTGTTTCCCATTCTTTGCTGTTGTTACCAACGCTGTAGTGAATCCAACTGTAATCTCATGTATCTTATCCCTACACTCCTACTATTTTTGTAAGAAAAATTCCTACAAGTCAAGTCGCTTTGTCAAGGGATGTGTTCGTTTTTTATTTTGATAGATACTGCCAAATTGCCTTCCAAAACTATTGTGCTAAATAACATTCCTCAAACACTCATGAGTCGTTTTTAGAGGATTTTCTCCCATAAATCCTGGTTTTTCAGTATGCTCCAAGGAATCAAATACTTTTAGTGAGTTGTTCTGAAGCTGTTTTTTTTTTTTTTTTTCTTCCCCCAAAGCCCCAGTACATAGTTGCACATCCTTCTAGTTGCTGTACGTGGGCCGGGGCCTCAGCATGGCGGGAGAAGCGGTGCGTCGGCGCGCGTCCGGGATCCGAACCTGGGCCGCCAGCAGCAGAGCGCGCGCACTTAACCACTAAGCCACGGGGCCGGCCCTGAAGCTGTTTTAACAACTGTTGTCGCTGAGAAGCTGTCACCCGGGCATGGCGCTCAGCACTGGGGATACATACACTGGGGAGCCAAACCAAATAAGGTCCTTGCCACCCTAGAGCCAGCAAGCCAGCGGGGGAGCCTGCTGAGTGCAGTACATTCAACAGATCGTGGCAGACTGTGCTGAGTGGGATGCCGGGCCAGTGACAAGGGTACCTTGGGAGGGAGGAGGATGGTCACTGATGTTTCCCTGCCTAGGTCTTGTGCTCTTGTGGGAATTAGAGGGAGGCAATAAGCTGACTGGTTTCTACTGAGAAACCTCCTGTAATTGACTCCTAAGTCAATTAGCCTGGGTTACTGTGGTAGTAAAGAGCTCACAGAACTTGAAGCCATGGAGTAGGGGAGTCAAATGAAAGTGCAAATATAAGTTCAGTAGTTTCAAGGGGACAAGGACCTTTAAAATGAGAATGTCAATTCTACCACTACCACTACCAGCTTTTTTCATTTTTTTGCAAGGTAGGATCACGTTGATTTCCGCTGAGTAGGGACTCGTGCAAGGTAGGCCACCCAGACCAGAGGTTTCTGTTCTTGTATCCCTGAGTGTTCAGGAGATGCTTAGCACACTTGGAAAAGAAGGGTGTGGAGGCCAGGATGGGGTTTGTGGTCAGGCTGCACTCGTTGCTGAGCATCTCGTATGCCCACAGCAGAAAGAACTTCTAGACTAGCTTAGTTTCCCATCTGGAAAACTAGGAACAACTTCCTGTCTGTTCTTTGTGACCCATACTTTGATCTCTAAAGGGTCCTTATCATTAAAGGAAGCAGGGACAAACTCTTCAAGAATGCAGTGGTGAGGTGTTCTGGCTCTGCTGAGGGAAGGGGAGCTCTTGTGCCTTCTCTTACCTTCCTTTTCATACTCCTGCCTTTTGACCTGGCAAGCTAAACCTTCCTCCTTCACTGCCACCACTTCCAGGGCAGTAGCCACCTCCACCATCATCTCAAGTTACTCATGGCGTGCTTCATCTCTCCTTCATACAGAGAAAAGAAGTTAAAGGCCAGAGTTCAAGAGTTGGTGAATGCCTTGGAAAGACTCACCAAGAGCAGTGAAATCCGACACCAACAATCAGCAGAGTTTGTTAATGACCTAAAGCGAGCCAACAGGTAAGATCTCTCTGTTCGTAGATTCCCAGTGGTACTTGGACTCATACACCAGGGAGGATATTTCCATAATTGCTGGGAACCAACTCTAGCGAACGGCAAGTCCTCACTTGCCCCAGAGAGCCTGGTCTTCCCTAGGGCATCATTTCCCAAAGTGTTACATAGAAACCTAAGAAATGCTTGAAAAGATGAGTCCTTGAGCCAAATATGTTTGGGAAATGCAGCATACTGTGGTCCCCTCTTAACACTTTATATAATAAAGGTTCTGAGAAGTCATACAATTAAGAAAAAAAATCTGTTTAATTGTGTTTAAGCCAATGTTTTCCAAACAAAATTGACCATAGAACCTTTTATTTGAGCAACATTTAATATCGGTGGAACACCTTAGGAAGCACTGCTCTAAGACAGCAGTCTCAAACTTTTTGGGCTCAGGACCCCTTTACACTCTTAAAAAATTGAGAACCTTAAAAGAGTTTTGTTCTTATAAATTATTTATCTATTGCTAAATCTCATTTTATTATTTTTGTGTGTGTGTGAGGAAGACCAGCCCTGAGCTAACATTCCAATGCCAATCCTCCTCTTTTTGCTGAGGAAGACTGGCCCTGGGCTAACATCCCCGCCCATCTTCCTCTACTTTATATGGGACGCCGCCACAGCATGGCTTAACAAACGGTGCGTCAGTGTGCGCCCGGGATCCAAACTGGCGAACCCTGGGCCGCCACAGTGGAGCGTGCACACTTAACCGCTTGTGCCACTGGGACGGCCCCTAAATCTCATTTTAGAAACTAAAACTGAGATAAGTTGTTTAAAGTTTTTATTAATTTGTTTATAAGAAACAAATTCACTATGTGTAATACAAATGGCATTTATTTTAAAAATTACTATTTTCCAAAAAATAATCAGAAGAGTGGCACCATTTTTACAATTTTGCAAATCTCTTTAATGTCTGGTTTAATAGCAAACAGCTCTGTTCTCACCTTGCTTCTATAGGCAATATATTGTTTTGAAATATATCGAGAAAACCCAGCTTCACGCACATCTGTAGTAAGTAAATAAAGGGCCTTGCAGACCTCCCCTGAACGGGTTTTGGGGATCCCTGAGGGTCGGTCCTCAGACCACACTTTGAGAACCTGTCTGTAAATGGAAGAGATTTGGGGTGCTGTTTTGGACCAGAGTGGGTACCGGGACTTACCTAGCCCTGGGCTCACCCCTCGCCTTCTTCTCACTGGGCTCCCAGTGGGGACAGTTCACAAGGCCTATGTTCTGTGTTCGGCTGGCAGCATTAGCTTATGGCCTGTGTGTTCCAAATCCTACCAGCCCAAAGCATAAAGGGAAGTTGTCGGAGCCTCTCTGCCCCATCCTAGGTGAGGTCACGGACTGCAGTGTGTGAGGAACACTCTCCTGTAACTTACACTTGACCATCTGTTGCAGGCAGCCATGCAACAAATACACCCAGTGCTTGTATTTAAGTGACAGATTTCTGGAATTCAGCTACCTTGTCTGCTTATCTGTTTTGGATGGGGCTAGTGTGGATTGTTGGTTTACACCCCTCCTAATATGTTCGTGACAAGCCTCTAGCAGGCTTGAATTAATCGTGGTTAAGCCAAGAGATGATTGGCCTTGAGTGCTGAAATAACTACTTGATTTCAGATTCTTGCTGAAGAGGCAGTGTGACCTGTTTCTTCAGAATGGTGCTCACTGGACCTGGCCACCCAGTGGACAGGACAGTGTTTGTCTCAATGCTTCTTAGGATGACTCTTCATTCTCATTTCCCTCTGTTCCCACATAGCAACCTGGTGGCTGCTTATGAGAAAGCAAAGAAGAAGCATCAGAACAAACTGAAGAAGCTGGAGTCTCAGATGATGGCCATGGTGGAGAGACATGAGACCCAAGTGAGGATGCTCAAGCAAAGAATAGCTCTGCTGGAGGAGGAGAACTCAAGGCCACACACCAATGAAACGTCACTTTAATCGGCACATGGGCACCGAAGTTCTGCCCATGGACGCTAAACTATAGCAGGTCACCGAGGAGAGAAGGGCCCCGGGGGACACAGTACCTGTTGGGAGAGTGAGAAGGGGAAGGTTGGCAGGTAGGTCAGCACTTGGACACTGGAGTGCCATGGACTCAGCCTGGGGGGCGAGTGGCCCTGGTGACACAGTGTAGGCTGTATCCACAGGATCCTGTTCCTCCCCTCCCGGGCCGTGGACGGCGTGTAAATACCCGCGCAGTGTGCCGTGCTCAGCAGGCCTTTCTTCTGCTTTCAGCACTGGCTTTGCCATTCTCCCATCTTTTCTGTTCTGGAGGTTGTGCATCAGTCGTATCCCACACATTTGCTTTATAAGATTTTCCAGTCCTTTCTTCTCTTTTTTTGTAGACAGTGACCTTATCTCTGGCATCCCCAATTTCTCCTCTTTCCTTCTCCTTGAGGGGAAAACTGACACTCACAGAGGGGTCTGTGTGTCTTCAGCATCTAGAAGTGCTGATTTGCTTATTGCAACAGACTTTGGTTTTCAAGTCCCACATATCAACTCTAAGATATAGGCTGTCACTCAGAGGTGCTCTGGGAGGTGGATTACAGGAGCATGGTGCACAGGTGTTCCTTACAGTCCTAGCTTCGGTGACGTTACAGGTAGAGAAACCCCAGGGCTGTTCCTGAACAATTCTGTATGGGAGAATGAAAACTTCCTTCACCTCTCACTGTGGAGGCAGTGCTGGGAAGGGAGCTCTCTTTGACTCTGGGATCTCCCCCTCCCAGTAGAGCCTTATTAACAGCCAAGACTAATTGCTGACAGAACGTGTTAATACACGTAGGGGAACTAAAATTTTATTAGGAGTTTTTTCAAGAGCAGAGGAGCATAACTGGTACTTTTCCCCCACCCCAGGGCACTACATACTTGCTGTTCTGCATGAATCAAAGTACATATGTAGCTCAGCACCTGCCTCTGTTTTTCTAAGGGCAAGAGGCAGGACACTGAGTAGATACTGCATGTTTTGCAGGCTGATCCCACCTATTTAAGAAACTGCTACTGAACCCCCAGTTCAAGACTTCGCTCCTGCTGTTATGAAGGGCAAGGGGTGAAGGAGTGGTTGCTGAGGCCTCCTTTTACCCCCTCCCCCCCAACCCCGAGACATGGTGATGGTTAGCATACGATGCTTAAACAGGTTCAATTTCAAGCAAAATGCTGACAGGGCTGGGCAGGACTGAAGTACCTGAATTCTTTCAGGAAAGTCTTCCATCTTAAAATAAATTCATTATTCCTCTTCTATTGTAACATTCACTGTTTTACCAACTCTCGCGTTGTGTTTCAAGTCTTCTGTAGCTGCCCTACATTGACACATTTTCAAGGACCACTTGCCATTTATTCTGTAGCACCTAAAGATCCACCCAAAGTCCCCTACGGGAAATGGGTCACAAAGTTTTGCTTATGACCAGATCACTGCATTAACCACGTCCATGAGCTAAAGGTCTGTCTTCAGAGAGCATGGTACAAGTTCCTCAGCGTTCTGCCTAGTGGGGAAGGACACTCCAGCCACCACTGTGGAGGACAGAGCATTTCTATCCCAAAAGCAATCACCCTTCTTTCTCTGGCCAGCAGTGAGGGCTGCCCCATCTTCAAAAGGAATCAACTGGTATCAGTCTGGAAGGATCAGCTTTTGGGTGCTTTGATCACTGTGAAAGTAGTCACTGGCTTCTCTTTCTGTTATGAATCATTTTGTCAAAGTTGGTTCTTGTGATTTTCTTTTTAATCAATTTTTATTCTTTGGATAGTTTCATTTTGTCACAAGGAAAATGTTTTGGTAGAAAAGTATGTGCAACAAAAGGTTTAATAGACAAAATCATTGTTTTTGTCATTTTTCCAGCCTGCCTAGGGAAATGTCCTTCCTTAAGCAAACTGGGATGTGCAAGGTGGGAAACCATTCATGGCTTTCTCTTCTGTGACTAAACAGGCATCAAAAGTTTTATTTTCACCAACACTGAAAACTATGGCTGATGCAGGTATAAAATCTTGTCTGCTGACTTCTGTCTACCAGTCTCGCTCCAAGTTAAAACTGAAAACCCACCCTTTTAGGGTCATATAACTCGCCCCAGACCCCAGAGGTCTCATTATGAGCCATCATGAGCTCCAGTATTGCTCATCCTATCTGGCCTCATTTTGAGTTTATATTTCAACATAATACTTTTCAAATATGTGGTGATTGGGTGAAAACTATTTCCCTAGCAAAACTGTTACCTTTATAAATGTGTAGAAAAAGATATTAAATAGTTGATTTCCTTTCCTTGTATTTTTTTTTTTTGTTTTGTGAGGAAGATCAGCCCTGAGCTAACATCCATGCTGATCCTCCTCTTTTGCTGAGGAAGACAGGCTCTGAGCTAACATCTATTGCCAATCCTCCTCCTTTTTTTCCCCAAAGCCCCTTCTAGTTGCTGTACATGGGATGCTGCCTCAGCATGGTTGGAGAAGAGGGTGTGTCGGTGATGCGCCCGGGATCCGAACCCGGGCTGCCAGTGGCGGAGCACGCGCACTTAACCGCTAAGCCATGGGGCAGGCCCCTGCCTTGTATTTTTCAAATAGTCCCTAAGACATAATCCTTGTTGAAGGTGAACCAGCAGGCACTTGGTTATGCTAATTGTGGGGCCTACTAAAACTGCACTGAGTACATAAATGATCACAGGTGCCTGGATCACTTTCCTTTTTTATAACCTGAATTTTTCTTTCTAAATAGGAGCTGGTTTATATTAACATCTCCATCAGGGGTAAACAATGATCTTGATTCTAACTTGTATGAGGTTAAAACCTTCAGACTTCTATATTTTTAATTGTTTTCCTCCAGTTTCCTCAGTGGTTACCCCTAGTAGGCAGTCACCCTCTCCGTTCAGAGTTCAGTCTTTGGCTCTTAGAGCAATAGGCATGGGAAGAAAGGACCCATTTCACAGTTCCCTTGGAGTGCATTTCCCACTGCTGAATTGAGGCAGAAATCACAGGCAAGAGACTTCTGTCCATAGCTGCAGTGCCATCAACATGTGGGCCTACCAACTGGATCTGATGTTCTGCCAAACTCTGTGTGCAACAGCTACCAAAACTGCCATGGACTTGTAGGCAGTAAGACTCCTCTTTGAGACCTATACCCAAAGTTATTTGATTAAATATCTTCTGCGCTCAGACAGCTGTGATTTATCATGCCCTCCCTATCTCTCCTGCTTTCGCCCCAAAGGTACACTAGAGGTTTCATCATTGCCAATGCAGGTAATTAACTGTTTCATATTCATGCTCATCTGCTGGCATGTCAGGTTTCTGAAGTTAATGTCCATGGTGCCTGAAACTGGAATCTTAAGTCAATAAAAAATTAAGTGCCATTTAAACATAATTGCTTAATTCTCCTTTGAGATGCATGTGCTTCTTACTAAGTCTTCCTCTGAGCCTGCAGCAATACTTTATAGGGACCACAGAGAACTCTAAATTAGAGCCTTGACATTCCACTACTCCAGAAAGGCAGTCCAAATTAGAGCCTATATAAGGCTTTTTCTTAAAAACTGTTAGGATGAGGCTAGTAAGGATTTTACTTCTCTAAGAAAAACTTGAAACTATTTGGAAGTCTCCTAGTTCCTAGCTGCATAGTGATTACATTATTTTAAGTGGAAAAAATGCCCCAGTTACCTGACCTGGGCTGGACTGCCTATGTCACTGGCATGAATAAGAATCTCCATGGTTGCCTGGCCCCTTCTGAAGGTCTTTCCTATGGCCCACAAAAATTATCCTGCAATTATTTTTTAATTCTGTCATCAGTTATCTTAACTCACAGCTCTTGAGAGTTTGGCGTATCATGCTCACATTTTAAGTGAAGTGATGAGAAAGACATCAAGACCACAGAAAACACCCAAACTTTCATTAATGACTTCTGAAGGCATAAAGCTCCATAAAGCTTTAAGCCATTTGCAAATGCATAACTGGGAGTGTGTCTCATCCGTGAAACTATTTAAAGCGAAAAGGGATCATGCTAAGTTTACAGCTGCACCTATTTCTAGATGCAACAAACACAGCTATAGTTAGAAAGTTTTTAGAGGCCAAAAGGGGAGAATTCTGATGATTGAAATTTCTACATTAAATTTAATTAGGGTGCAGTCATAGGGTTGCCAAGGTTTTTGGGCAGGGGGTCTGTTCTGCAGTGACAGCTGTTGTAGAACAACACTATAAAAATTTCTGGGAAAAAAAATCATAGCAATTATTTTTCTATTTATCCAGTGGAATGGCCTATTTGACAAGAAATGACACAATCACCACCTTTCACTGAGGCTTGCAAACTCCCTAGTGCTCAGAGCTGGGCACTACTTGGTAGAAGAGGCATAACTTGTTATAAAACAAAAATTATGCCTTTGCTGCACACACAGTTCTTAAAAGTTTATCCAAATCCTATTCTAGTTAATTGAAACCTTGTGTTTATATAGGCAAAGTTGAAGTTAGTTAGTTAGCTCTGAACCTATGGCCTTCTGAAGTTCCTCCTGTTTCACACACTTTAAGTTACTTCCTAACTACATTTGTATTCACTAATAAATATATGCCTTAGGCTGCCAAGCACTAATTTTTTAGAACTGGAACCAGAATTATCAATTAACATAATGCTGGCTGCTGCCCCCACAGCATCACTGAGCACACATCACTGCGCCAGCATCACTGCGCACCAGTGGCTGTTACGATATAAACAAGTAGAAGAGTACAAGTTGAATAGCAGCTGCTCGTGCATTCTTATTTTGCTAATTCCTGCGTAGAGGAAGTTTTTTTCACAATTATATTTTTGTTTGAGAGTTATATTGGATAAATTCTCTATCACACTGCATCTGAGGGAGATGTTGCATGTGATCAAGAAATCATTGTACCAGTAACAGCAACTGCTACTGGATAACCATATCCTTGACTAATAGTACTTGATTCTTCCATAGTCAAGGTAAGCTACAAATCACTCATCCACTGATCATCTGAAATGTCAGCTTAGCAGAACAGAGCAAGCTATATACAAAATTCCCCACATTCACACTGATGACCTGCTTAGTTGTTCTTGCTCTACCATTCACTTGTGCTCTTTTTGCAATTCAAGTCCATGTGGAAAATGTTCTGTTTGTAGAACTCATAGTATTAGAGTGCTCATGTCAGGACTGCCAAGTGAATGAGAGCCCCTGATAATCTGCTTTTGTTTAACCCTAATGCAACGATAATGAAACATGTTCACTTCTTTTCTAATTTCTAATCAGTTTTTAGACATATTGTCAACTTATTTACTTTGCATGAGATTTAAGTTTCCTATTATTTGAAAATGTGCTTTTAAACCACTTGGATTATTAGAAAAACCTGCTTGAATGTACTGTCAGTTATTAAAGCACATGTGACTAAGTTTGCATCTGTCAGTATTGTTCTACTGTTTGTATTGAAAGTCTCATTTTAAAGTTGCCCCTTAACACTGTACTATAGCTTGTAATTTTTTAGATTCTTCACTTGTATGCTTTAAATGTTTCCAGATGCCTTTAGTTTTAGCTGCTGTAAAATAGCTACTTTGTGTTATTTGATATAGAATTGTTTAAAAAAAACTCCATTTATTTATACAGAGACATTTATAATATTTTACAAACATTCTTATATTCTGAATAAATATTTCTAATTCCATGATGTACTGTAACTGTGTTCATTAAAGTAAGGTTGTCCTTCTGTAGTACTATTTGTTTGTCTAACATGTAAATATCAAACCTGTGATGCTTCATATTAAATCAAGAGCCCTAGTCAAAGCAGAGAGCTGGAAGACAGACTACATTAGGTCAAAACAGCCAACAGCCAAAGAAACGTCATTTCTATTTGGCTGCCTTTTCAAAATCACTGAAACGGGATATAATGAAGAAGGGAACGTAACCAAGAGTTGGAAATACAAGGAAGCCATGCATGACTACGAGCAAGAGCAGCAAGCAGCTGTGCAGCACGTCTGTCTGTTAGAAGGCTATTACCTTTAGTGTTGTCAGTTCTATCAAAGCAGAGTACCTGTGACAACAAGAGTATATAATACCTTGGTCACTCTCTTAAAATTTTAAATAAAAATTACTATCATATAGCTGAGGCCACTAGTGGAGAAGAAGGTATTTCTTTCTTCCTTGAGATCCAAGGACTGTCAAGGATTCTATTCAGGAAAAAATGGTTCTAGTACAAATTTAAGAATTGTTGGATTTTATGTATCTAGTTAACTCACACTACAGTCTCACTTTAAAGCAACAACCAAACCGTTATTTGAGATGGAGAACATGACCAGTTCTTTATTTACACGTTCACAGAAACACTCTTTTACTTTTTCTTCCTGTATATAAACATACCTTATCTCATACTTGTCATTTTTCATTGGTCCAAAGAGATGCAACCAAAATATGAGCAACTTGGAACTTACAATAACAGTAGCAAAAACCAGGTTAAGGTAGTAATTAAAACTGCCCAAGCAGCAAAATTTATTGATATTGCACTACAGTCTAAATTTAACATGATAATATTTTTATAGAAAGCCAGCACTTTAACGATCAATTGTAAAAATGTTTTAAAATACAAAGGAAACCTTCCATCATTCAAATTGTATTTTGTAAGATAAAAGGTTTTTAATTTCTAAACTGGTGTTATTTACATCAAAAAGCTTTCAAAAAGAGCATAATAACTGTTAGGACTTTGTTCCTTTTCTCAGTGGAGAGTACAGCTGGCACTTCTAGTCCACTTTGGAAGTGCAGTAATCCTGCAAACACTTACATTCCCAATTCATAAACAACAGTCATTGGAAATCCTTTATTTATGACAGTCACACCCAATATAAGTGAAAATCAGTCCTTACCTTTCATTAACCCTGAGGGAAAGAGACATATCTACTATTCAGCCAGAAGATAATAAATCCAGAAACACAATAAATTTGCCTCTAAAGGTTTCAATTCTTATAACCACAAGGTGAACCCAACAGGTATTTTGGGGTTCCTTTTCTGCTCTCCATAAATGTTTGACAACCGAAACAAGCAGCAAGAACTTCATTACTACCATAGAAAGAATCACTCCAATAGTTTACTTATACAGTCTTTCTCCAAACATTAAAATGCCCTAGAAGGTAAATAAAATGCTGCTAGAATTAAGGGAAAAATTAAATGTTAAATCATTTCACATAAGACAAAAATGATTACTGAATAAAGTTAACAAATCTATCTATAGTTATCATTTACTCTAAAGTCCAGTTTTTTCAATTAAATATATTTAGTGAAACCATTTCATCAATTTTTTTCTACCAGCTTTTGTAGGTCCCAAATAATAAAGATTTTTAACATGACTCAGCATAAATATCTTCACCTTTTTCAAACTAAAACCTACTCCCAAAAAAATTGTTTTAAGACTACATATCTTCCATGATGAACATTACCTCGTCTCCACAGCATAAAAGACACTTCAAATCTTGTTTTGGAAATAGGCAGGGTATAAAAAGAAATCAGTTCTTTTTCTCTTTCCCATCCAAACTATATTGTATGCCCTTATTTTGGTTAGACGAAAGACAATCTTACATAAGAGGATTTCACTTAAGTTAGCTAATATATGAACTATAATTCCATTTGATTAATCATTTTATTCTGAAATAAGATTGTTTTAAATTTTCATTAAACAGGTAAAATTTAAAATATGAATTGTATGAGTCAATAGCAAAGATGATTTTTTTTATAAGGTATTAAGCTAATAAGAAAATTTCAAAACCAATTACACGAAAATATATGTGTGTGTGTGTATGTATACACAAATATATATTTGCAAAATAGTTCATGGTTTTATTTTCCTTTCTTGTTACTGAAGAAAAATTCTGTAATATTTATAAAATGGAAGTCAGATTAGCTGTCTCCTGCCCTAACTTTCAAGTGAAATATGAGCAAAAAAGTAAAAGTAAAGACTCAGTTCTCTGGACACTTGCATTTGACATTAAAAGATACTTGTGTGCAAGATCCAAACACAAACCTAAAATGAATAGTGGAGGCAGGAGTGCCCTCGGACAGTAGTGAAACGCACAAACTCTGGCAGACAGGTCTTTTGTGCTCTTCTATCAGTGCATATCGTATGTGTAGTCCGTGAAGAGTGCACGTCTACTGCTACGCATTCGTTCCAAAAGTATTAACACATCTAACCAACCAAACTGCTGAGGAACAGTCATTACTTTTCTAAATTTCATTCACAGCTGAGAACCTTTACTTTGCTTTCATTTGCTGCCATCCATGGTCTATTCTTAAGTATCATAAAAGCATAATATGACATCATTTTACAAAAAACTAGCTAATTTCTTGAAGTCTGAGAAATGACTAACAATGTAGATTTGTGCCCGAAATGTTTCACACCAGTTTGTAGCTACAGATTGTTTTAAAGATTTTATTTATTCACTTTTTTCCCCCCAAAGCCCCAGCAGACAGTTGCATGTCATAGGTTCACATCCTTCTAGTTGCTGTACGTGGGACTCAGCCTCGCGCTGGACGGAGAAGCGGTGCCCCGGGGCGCGCCCGGGATCCGAACCCGGGCCGCCAGCATCAGAGCGCGCGCACTTAACCGCTAAGCCACGGAGCCGGCCCTGTAGCTACAGATTGTTTTAGAACCTCAGGTTCAATGAATTAAAAGTAGATTAAATTAAAATGTTACATTCTACCTCAAGAAGTCCACAACCTAAGAACGTTAGTGTTAACTAAGACCTCTCAAAGATTGAGGACCAGCAGAACACTGCCCATTTCACCCTAAAACCACACAGGCATTTTCTTTGTTCCCAAACCAATTTGACAACTACAAGTATCGAGAGAGACAAAATAGCACAGGTGTCCACAGCCCTCCAATCTGCTTGTGGCCCAAGGGTCAAAGTGAAATCATCTCTGGATGGCAACATATAATCACTGCTTACAAATTCCCACAGTGGCAGATTCGCCATAGGGTGCAGCACAAATAAAGAGAAAAAAACTATTCTACAGAAGTGACAAGATACAGGGGGACTGTGTGTGGGGGGACTCAATGGCCTCTTCCTGGACAGTCACCAAGAAAAAGGATTAGGAAACAACAGGTCTTCAAATGACACTCAACAGATAGAAGCCAAAACAACACCCAAACACCTGCAAGACCCCTCTCACCAAAAAAGCAGCAAATATATGTTCAGGGCCTTATTCTTCCACTGGAAGAAAGGACTAAAGTCTACTAAGAGAAGGGTCCATGTGAGACAAAGTTACAAACAAAGGCAATTGATTTCTGCATTCAATCCCTTTCCCCAGAGCACCCTTGACCAACACTACGCAGCTAATGCAAGCACCTTGTCAAGGTTAATTCCTTTTAGATTGTGCTTTCAAGCTGCTACCATAGCTAGACCATCCCCTCCACTAACCACAGAAGACACAAGATAAATGGAATCTCTTTACTGGTGATTTCATTAATCTGGAGACCCAGATTAAAGATTCAGTTATGAACATTTCTCAAGATAAGACTTCCCTACTTTATCATAGTTTTTTATTTACACTTCTTTGTACCTATGTTAAAGTCTGAGCAACTACGTTGGTGGAAATCAGCCCTTCAAGTCCACTCCCATGGATGAGAGGTAGCTTTACTCTTTTCCCTAGCTATAGACCACTATTTCAATAGTAAACGCGGTTTGTCACAAGAAAACTGGGTGGATAGGGAATGATCACCATCCAGGACAAATACACAGCTACCACATGAAGTGACTATGACACACACCAGACCATGGCTGCGTGTGCTCTGGGTTACGTTTCCGTAAGAAAGTGCACTTCAGTGTGGCTGGAGTTGCAAAGTATCAGCACAGACTCCCAAACACTGGTCTTTAAAGTGAGAAAAATTACTTTAGATTTACTGGATTGCTTGGCAACCATACTTAGAAAAAATTAACTGTATCCAGAGCTAGAAAACGCTTGGTAATGGCCACATGTATTAGACTCTGCTTGGGCTATATAGTGATCACATTTCTAGCCTAGTACATCATACAGCACTCAAGAACTGATTTATCTTCTAACATTTCTTCCTTACACTCTCTTCACCCAGCAACTATAAATATCTTCTCCCTTCAGGGCATTTTTGTTCTATAATAATAACCTATAACAATTTTGGAAACTGCAATCCAGAACTCTACTTTGAAAGCATCGCACCGAGCCTTTACTGCCCATTTGCAATCTGCCACCTTATGACACCGAAGTACAAACTTCAAGAGCAACTCAATTCTAGGAAGAAAAAGATGCTGAGAAAGCCCAACATAATCTCATTTTTAGAATTTTTGGCAACTATACAAATGCACTTTAAAGTCTTAGGACAGAATACAAAATGAGGAACTCTAGCTAGGCTTTACCAAGCTATCAGGAATAAGGTTTAACAAAACTGCTGTTTTACTAACACCTGTTTACCTAGAGACAGGTCTTAAGGGTAAAGGATATTGATATCTTCAGACAAAATAAGAGTTTGTCTTGCTTATCATTAATCTAAAGTTACAACAATACATATGAGCCCCTTCCCCAGGCTAGAAAATAATCCAAGTCAAAATTACTAGGTAACACTTATTTTTCTTCAGTCAGAAAAATGTTAATGAATCTGACCTTATAACTATGATTAAAAATGCAAAAAAAAATATTGCCTCAAAATACAGACACATAATAGATGTCAATCAAAACAAAAATAAGAATAAAAGGCCAAGAGATGTTATCATAACAGAAAAATAAGTTGGCAAAAAGTCTCATTTGTCTATATCAACTTTGCTCCTTACTGTTCAAGGTAACTAACTGTTGGAAACAAACAAAAAAAAAAAGTGAGGGAATAGGTAATGAAATGTTATTAATACACATATGCACTCAGACCTGAACTTTTCTAAAGACCACCACAATATAATTTAATCCTCAAGGAGGGATGCTATTCACTTAGATTTGAGGTTTTTATTTGATATTACACAAACTACTAACACCTTAAAAGACAAAGTACCAACTCAATCTTATAGCATAAAATTATTTTTGCTAAGTTTTGCTATACATCTTCATTATCTGTACTTACTGATATTTAATAGAAAAATAAGGATATCCAAAGCTCAAAGCAGCAAGCAGTGACCACAATTCCTTTGACAGCATAGGAGACTTGCCTTTATATATTAACATGAAAATCCAACTTAATTTTCAAACGTCTTCAATCAAATTTCACCCATGCTAAAAGAATTCTATTAGGCTCTCAGACTTCTCCAAACACTCATGTCTCAGGAGAGCATCACTGTTTGAAATCCTAAAACCAGTCATTTGCTATTTCTTAACAAAAACTTGTGAAAGCATGTAAACCACTCCCCTATCTTTTGGATTATAATGGTTAAGTACACAAACAATTCATTTAACACCTACAAATCATTACAGTTATACATAAAAGCACCTACAAAATTTTAAAAAATAAAAGATTCACAGTGCACTGAACCTTGGAACATATAAGGCTGAAACATAAGAACACTTAAAAAGTGGATTCAAAGACTTAGTTCTCTCTCAAAGACATAAAACATAATGAAGCTAACATAACTACTCTTCTCAGCTAGCTTCTTAAAATGCAGCACACAGAAGTAAATTATTGCATATTCAGCACACACCTTTATCACTTGATTTCTTCAAACCATGCTAAAATTTCTCAAAGGAGAAATCCAGTTCTGTGCTAAGCATGGCCTTTCTCAAGGTAACCCGAACACTGAGAAACTAATATACAGGTTCGAGGGAATAAGTATAGCAGATGTACATAAAACAGGTACATCCAACTTATACATTTTCTGCATAGTTAAGTCACATCACACACATAAACTTTAACTCACATCTTTTAACTTTGTTTTTTTGTCTCAAACTGTCGAGAGCTAAAAGCCTCAAGTTACCAAAACCCCATCCCAACAATACCCTTATTTTGTTCCACAGTGCATTACATGAAGCAGCACAACAGCAATAACATTTAACCATAGTTAAACTTTCATAATTGAAAAGAGAGAATCTGTTGGTTCTTGAAAAGGCTCAACACCATTAGAGGACATACTTCTGGTAACTAACTAATCTCTTTTGCTTTAGTATTGAGAGCTGAAACTCCAACTCTAGGCACCAGAAAGAATGACCAAAATACTCATTCAAAAAGAAAAAAACACATACAAAAATCACTAAAAATTAAATGGTTTCCAGATGACAGTAAACAAGTGAAAATGATTTACCTGCCAGGCAAACTAAGTTTTCACTCCCTTAACAATTTAGCAGAAATCTGGAATACTGGGACCAACTATAAATATGGCTCAAGGAGACCCAAGCAAAGCAGCTGTATTTCTGGAAAGAACAGTAAGAGCTTGCAAATGCAATCATATAATGCATTTAAAAACAAGTCACAGAAGGATTCACAAATTTGTCACATTAAAAGATGCAGGACTGTGAATAACCTAATTCTAAACGCACTGCTACAGTTGTGAATTCTCCTGTTTAGCACCAAGAGGGTGACACTTTCATTAATAAATAGAATTTCTCCTTTAAAATCAAGCCATTTAAAAGCTAAAGCAAAGTAATAGCAAGTGAATTCCTTACAATAGCACTTCTTTTGCAAGTCCCACTGGGTTAAATCGAACTCCTATTAAATAGGCTATGTATATAGAATAAAGATTTCTACAATAAAATTTACAGAGATATATTTTGTGGATACCACATGTAAAAAAAAGATTTTTAAAACCCACATGACAGATGCACATGCACACATGTGCTCATCCCCCCCCCACACACACACAAAGATACCTTCAGTGAGGTCAGAAGCAGCCCGAACACTAAAGCCCCCTGAAAGCCCTGGTGATTGTCCTCAATTATAGCTGAATTCCTTCTTAAAGCGGGCACTGCCATCCGTATTTGGATTTATGAGTCCTAAAGGACCAAAATACATTCCTAGAACTGAGTTATGTATGTTACTTTCACGTTCTGATCCTCCCCCAGTCAAATGCTTTATTTGTACTCAGGTAAATTGCATACCTCTTCCCTTCTCATTCCATCATCCAGGGGCTTCAGCATGCTCATAAAAGTGTGTCAGTCTCTGCTACTACTGCAAATTGGAACCTAATATAACATCAGTTTCCAGAGATCAACACTGAGATGCAATGTAAAACCTAATAATGTCAGTATTCCATACATATTTACACAACTGTAATAAAGAATAAATTTTCACAAGAACAAAATCATTGTACAACACTAAAGGGTTGCTGGCAGGATGGTGAAGACATGACCAAAGCAAATGCTGGGTCCCGGCCTCCATGCTGCTCTCTGCTACCCTCTCTCCAGCAGTCTCACAAGTTCACTGACTGCATGCAACGCAACCCAAAATTAGAGCATCAGCTCCCCACCCAACCAACTCAGTCCCTCTCCAGGCTGAGGACTTTGTCCTTTAATGAAGTGCTAAGAGTTCATTTTGAACACGAACATTATATAGATGATGCTGGCTCTAAATAAAACCTTTCAACAAAACTCCAAGCAGAGCAGATTTAGAGAACCTAAGTGATTAAAAGCAGAGAAATGTGCAAAATGCCACCAAAGCAGATGACCTGCAATCTTGACTTGTGACATTTCAGCTCTTGTATTCATTTAATAATTGTATATTTTAAGTTTCTTTTAAAAATTTCAATGTAAGGAAAACTATTATTGCAATCACTGTAATGGGTAGATGGAGCTTTCCCATTAACTTGGCTACTTGATGATGACTCAAACACTATTTTCTTGACCAGAATATAAAATAAAAACCACAATCACACAGAAAAAAATGCCCCCGTAAAAAGCAACTTAAATTCATTAGCCAAACAATGAAAAGGTTCATGTGTATAAAAGGTTATAACTGCATTTACAGTGCAAACTCATGTTTCTTCCTACTCTCTCTTCTGCACAGAGAACAATCTCTTCAGAAACATCATTGCCTCCCTGCATTTCTTTAAAACACCTGAGAAAGGTAAGGCTCAAAGAGACACCCACTCAAATGTGACAGGTCCCTGATCTTGGGACTTCCACAACACATATGCTGCTATCATAGGTCCAAGATTTTCATTATAGCATTATGGTCAAACTTGAAACTCAAAAAGGCTCTGGATGAAAAGGGGAACTTGCAATGTCCATTACATGCCACAGACTGTCCCTCGGCATGTTCTAGCAACTGGTCTTCACCGGAGCAAGGTAAGTCATATACAGCATCTGTTTAAAAAACAAAATAAATAAGCTCAGTAACTTAGTAATACACCAAATACTGCCCTCCACCTTCTGTTATAAAGGAATTCACATACAGTATATATCTATCTCCCCACACTCTAAATCTAACATAAGGAGAAGCACCGAGATATTTTCCTTTCCCTAAACTGGTGCTCAACTGAATTTCTAATCTATGATCACTTATTTCCACACGAACATTCAAAACCTTAAACTCAGCCTTTATTTTAAGATCCTAATATTCACTTGCTTTCAAAAATGGACATACCTTTATATACCTCCTGCATTTGTATTTTGGACCAACAAAATGGGAGCTTCTTGATAGAGATCAAAATGTAAGCATTGTAAAGATTACAATTACAATGTAAGATCTGTAAAGACTCTAATTCTAGAAAAATCAAGCTGGAGTTTACCAAACCTTTAGGGAATATATCAATCTAAATAAAAATCCAAATTTTCAGAATCACAGTACAACGAAACTCCACGTTATCAGAGCTTCTTTTTAAAAAAAAAGTAGAGCAGGGACCTGACCAGGAAAGTAGGTTTAGAAAAGATACCAAGAGGCTTAGGCAGAAAGTCTGAAATGAGGTTTCCCAGGACAAGAATCATTTTATACTTCCTCTCTAACTCAAAATTTTATATATCCATATCATGAACTAAGCTAGGTACATGAACCTATAGTGTGCCTTCTTTAATGTTCCTGAATGTATGGCTTTTTAAAGATTTTGTGAAATAACTGATTTCTGAACTTATGTTAATTAAACTATCAGCCTATCATGTCCCCACCAACCAAGGTGGCCACAAAAATTCTATTAAGAGGACTTCTACCCCCATAACCTATCTCTACTAAACAAATGATAGTTCCTCTTTCTTCACAGTTAATCTGAACTTTCCAAAACAGGGTTAAAGCATCTCTTTTAAAATAGCTTTTATCTTGCTTAAATCATAGACAGTATTGCAAGAAAATATGATCATAATGTTTTTCATTTCTTAGACTTTTCTATATGAAAGTCTTAAATTTAAATGGTGAATAAATGCATATCTACTGCACAGGGAATTTCATACAATTCAAAATAACACCTAAGAAAAAATGGTCTACCGTACTTCCAAATGACATCTATTAAATCAGTATTACTAAAGAGCTTTCCACCTTCATCAGCATTACTTTCTAAATCAGCTCACACATACCTACTCTTCATAACTGAGGATGGAGAAGGTCCAAATGTCATTTTAGTAAAAGCTGCCCTTAGTACCACCTTAAAAAGTTGATCATTACCTCCAAAAAAGGGAAAATGCTCCCCTTCAGAAGTTACTGCTCCCCTGACATATATATGAGAACAAGGTCTCCTCACCTTTACAATACTTGGTTTACTCCCCCCAACCCTTAAGCAATATGTATTTATTTACAATATGCATGCACAGCACCAAGGCTTGCCATTCACAAAAGAAATAGCATACTGAAAGGGCAAATAATTTTATCTTGATCTTTTAAATAAATTCATTCTAGCCACTTTCATATTTAGAGAACTTGACCACATATATGAACTCTCTCTACAGAACACGTGCAACTCTTCCTGCTTATCTATGACAGTTCAGCACACACTCCACAAAATCAAGGTTAGGCCAAAACCAAACCAAATCCCACTAGGCAGAGATTTTAAAAAGAAAATGACTTGCCCGTTTCAAAATTATCTTGAAGTTTTCGTGGATGAAGTTTTTTTTCACACTTCTGTAAGAAAAACACAAACACACAGACAACATACCATCCCCAGTTATTTCACTTATTATATAATAATAAGGAGATACATTATCAAATTTCTCAGGAAGAAAATTAAACCAGGAATATAATCGCCATCCCCATTCTCACATTGGTATTTAAATTTTTTTAAGCCTAAAACTTTTTTTAGATCTTGATTACATGTATAATATAGAAATACCAGAAAAAAGAAAATTATTCATTAAATTTCTCAACCCAGAGATAATTACTATTAACATTCCAGTGTATCTTTCCAGCTTTTTTTCTATGAGGTTATGCGTGAATATATTTTCATGTAATTACATAACATCATTAAATGGAATTAGTTGATACATATTAGTATTCTATAACCTACTTTTTAAATGTAATATACTGTGAACATATTCCTTTTTCAATAAATACAAATCTATACCATCATTTTTAATGACTATATGATGTTCTACCGCATAGATCTACAATATTGCATTTAATATTATCTTTGATATTTAGATTATTCCCATGTTTTCATTACTAAAAAGAGTAATTGGGTGAATATTTTGTTAAATTTCTCTTCTAAGGTAACAAAGGAAGAACTTTTTCAGGCTTTCAATATAGCCTAACTACTCTCTAGAAAGTTGTACCAGTTACTAATTTTTCAGTGTTACCAATACACTCAACAATATATAGCTGGATATCTTTCCATCTTTGCCAATCTGACAAGAAAAAGTGTAATAATAGTAAAGGGCAAGTAGTCTAACAGTAAACTGATCTTTAACATATGTTTGCTAGTGGAATCAATACACCCCAAGTTAAGTAAACAGCACCTAGAGTTTTGCTAAAAACTTGAAATTACTTTTATCACCCAATGTTAAAGAAAGAAAAATAGGTGAAGCTACAATGAGAAAATTCAACATACAAATATCAGGACTTACAGAAAAGATAAACAAGGAGACCATTAGTTATGAATTAATTTCTAGAGCACAAACTAAAAGAATGGAAGTAAATGCCTCAAAATGCTCACAGTTATTTGTCTTTAGGCCTAGTCTAATGACAATGGCACTGGCTGTATTTTGTTTATTTTCTAAATTCTAACAATTTGAAGGAAAAAAAACACACTGCAATGTTCTTCCAAACTTTTAACCTCATTAAAATAATATAGACTCTATTTAGAAAAATATAAACAGAACAACAGCCAAGGACTTGCTCTAGAAAGCAAGGTTGACTACACATTGTTTTCATAATTATTAAAATAAACTTAAATACCCACAAAAAAAAGCAAAGATTAGATATGCAATTGAATCAATGTTATAAATCTGTAATTGAGAGTAGCCAAAGAGATTTTTAGTGAGCGAATAGTGTGCAACTTCGCTCCATGAAAATCCTGTCAATACATCAATTCAATGTGCCTTGACAATGCCCTTGCCCCTTATACACAGTGAACTACCTTCTTAGCCTGAGAGCTGTAACCCTTACCATCAAGGGATTCTGCTGCTTGGCTGGCTGGCTGTGGACTCCATTTGTTCTTTTCTTTTGATTAGGTGAGTCTTGATACTGTTTTCTGCCATTTCCCCTCAGACTTTGATTCTGTTTTTCCAATAAAAAAAAATAAAATGTAAACCTATAGTATAATATAATAGGACAAAAGAATATACCCCTATGAATATGTTTAGCTGGTTGAATCAGAGTTTAGCAAAGCCCCTCAAAAATCTTCCCAAAACAATGGGGAACCACACCTTATCATATTTTCTTAAAGAAGAGCAAGATTCCTCTAAAGGTATGAAATAGCAAATACAATGGTCCCTAGCAATCTTTCCACACCTCTTGCCTTATCCCATTTCTGCTTACAGATTTGTCTACAATGCATGAAAGAATGGGAGAGGGGAGAGGAACAAGTTTGAAAATCTTATGTGACTGTCAAAGAAAATCTCTCTGTGAGGGAACACAGGTGCGCTGGCCACAGTTCTTAGAGCAGGAACCATGCAGCGGATGTGATCAACTGTTACCCGAAAATCTGCTTAAGATTATTAATAAACAAATAAGGATCTCTAAATTAATAATCTCTTTTATACAAAATAATAAATAAGATTGGTGTTTTTAAAATTTGGGCGATTACTCTTAAATTTAGACCTAAAACCTGAAAATGCAGTATTAGACATCTTGCTATTATACTGATTTAACATGAGTTAATTTTCTTACAAAAATTCTAAGGTTAACTTAAAACACAACACTTTTAAACATTAATTTGTCTTTAGAGGTCTTGAAAGGACAGCTATTTAAGAGGACTGGCTAAAACAGCATAAATAGTTTTATTATCACTATTTAAAAATATATAAAAACACAGTTATTTATTTACATCCTATCTACCTACAAAAAAATTAAGCAGTTCCTAAAATAGGCTGAAAACAATAAGCTAACTTAAAGAATGGTAGGGAAATATGACTTTCAAAAACTCATGTTTCCACACATTTTTAATTCAATTTCATTCTACTCTTCTTGGTATTTATTTTTATTGTGGTACAAGACACATAAAATTTACCACTTTAATCACTTTTAAGTGTACAATTCAGTGGCAATAAGTATAGTCACAATGTTGTGCAACCACCACCAGTATCCATCTCCAGAATTTTTGATCATCCCAAAAACAAACTTTGTACTCAATAAATAACTCCATATTCCCCTCTGTCCCTCAGCCCTGGAAACTTCAAGTTAATTTCTGTCTCCATGAATTTGTCTATTCTAAGTACATCATATAAGCAGAGTTATACAAATTTTGTGTGTGGCTTATTTCACTTAGCATGTGTTTAAGGTTCATCCATGTTGTAGCGTGTATATATCACAATTCCATTCCTTTTTAAGGCTGAATAATATTCCATTGTATGTATATTTTATTTATCCATTAATCTGTTGACGGACATGTGAGTTGTTTCCACTTTTGGGCTATTGTGAATAACGCTATTATGAACATTGGTATACAAGTTATCTGTTTGAGTCCCTGCTTTCAATTCTTTTGGGGTATATACCTATGAGTGGAACTGCTAGACCATATGGTAATTCTATGTTTAACTTTTTGAGGAACCACCAAACTGTTTTCCACAGCAACTGTACCATTTTACATTCCCACCAGCAATGCACAGGGGGTTCCAATTTTTCACATCCTTGTCAACACTTATTTCCTTTTTTTTATTATTGCTATCTTAATGAGTATGAAGTGGTATCTCGTGGGTTTGATTTGCATTTCTCTAAAGACTAATGATGTTGAGCATCTTTTCATGTGCTTATTGGCTATTTGTATATCTTCTTTGGAGAAATGTCTATTCAGTCATTTGCCTATTTTTTAACTGGGTTTTTTATGTTGTTGTTGAGTTGTGGGAGTTCTTTATATATTCTGGATATTAATCCATTATCAGATATTTGATTTGCAAATATATTTTCCCATTCTATGGGTTGTCTTTTCACTTTTTTGATAGTATCTGCTGATGCGCAATTAATTTTGATAAACCCCATGTATTTTTTAAAAAATAAAAATAAAAAGCAAGAGTGGCACCCAAATGGATGGCTCAAATAATAAGGACAGTTAATAGCAAGGATTAGTAAGGATGTGGAACAACTGGAACTCTCTCATATTTTGCTAGGGATATAAATTACATGAGAACATTGTTCACAGTATATACTCAAGAACATAGGCATATCCAGTAACCCAACAATTCTACTGTTAGTTATATATACCCAAAAGAACTGTATGTGTTCATCCAAAGGCATGGACAGAAATATTCGTAGCAGTATTGTTTCTAAAAGTCCCAAACTGGAAACAACCAAAATGTCCATTAAGAGTAGAATGGATAAATAAATTGTGGTATAATCATACACTAGAATATAACACAGTAAAGAACCTTTCACTGGTGGCACATACACCAAAGTCAGACATTAATTCCTATGACTTACTACCCTGGATTTATATCAAAGCTATAAAGGTTAAGGAGTCTCAGCACTGCTTCAAATCACAAGTCAAGAAGACAGGAGCCTTGGACCAACAATTCAGAGCTCCATAACTGTTAATTTGCAATTCCTCAATTCAGATACATTTCAAAGTCAAATGATCTAAAGTTATGAAAATCTTTCAGTGTATATCACTCACCTTTGCTTTTAAAAGGTCAGACATTTCAGAATGATTATTATATGGCTTTTGCTGCAGTGGTTGCCTGTGCTTTACCCACTGGTCACCAGGAGACCCTTCAGGAAATAACTGCTGACTGTGGCGGAATTTGGTTCGACTATACCAAGATTTAAAAAATAAAAATCAGATCAGAAAATTTTCACCTGCAGTTCTTCTACCACCTAGTTTATCCTACAGACTACAAATTTTACTTCCTTCTTTATTATCTATCTTTGCCCATTAGAATGTAGTTCCATGAGGGCAGGGATTCTTGTCTGCTTTGTGTATTGCTTTATCCTCAGCACCCAGAAAAGTGCCTGGCGTTCAGTATTTCTTGAATGAATTAATAATCTGTTATTTTTAATCCCAAGCTTTTCTTTCTTTTTTTTTTTTTTGTGAGGAAGATTAGCCCTGAGCTAACATCTGTGGCCAATTCTCCTCTTTTTGCTGAGGAAGACTGGCCCTGGGCTAAAATCTGTGCTCATCTTCCTCCACTTTAAGGAGAGACGCCGCCACAGCATGGCTTGACAAGCGGTGCGTCGGTGCATGCCCGGGATCTGAACCCCAGGCCACCGCAGCAGAGCACGCACATTTAACCGCTATGCCACTGGGCCAGCCCCCCTAAACTTTTCTAAATTATCCATACCACCTCCTCCCTATACGTGATTATACTTTTAAAAATCTAAAGAAAATAATTTTTCTAAATTTAGTTGAAATAAACGTAAGTAGATTTTCCTTCTTAATAGGACAGACAACTCACTTTCTTACTAGGATGTTTAAAGTACAGAATTTGATCCTGCACAGGTCAGTTATAGACCCCATCCGTGCTGGAAAAGGATCTGAAAAATTAAGCTATATTCCAGAATAAAAAATTAAAGGGCCCAAGACAATGGATGAGCAAATTAAAGATCCAGTCTCAAATTCTTATGCAAAACAATTTGATTGTAAAAGGTTGTACTCATGCAATAGTCTGTAATAAAGACAAGAAATCCTATTCTATAGTACCTCTTACAAGGATAATACAGTCCAGAGTCACTGATCCCAAGATCCATACTATAGTAAGATTGTTTCTGACTATTTCAGAGTTCTTTCCCTTTCCCATTTAAAAATTATAATAAAATTACAGGCTCTCGACTCTTTCTTTAGATAAAATTCAGACATTTCCTCCAACACATCATCACAGACATTAGTCTGTATGTTAAAAACACACATTACCCTCCCCAGGAAACCTGAAATTTGGTTAGAGAAGTTTCTTTATTCCATTCTCCAGGACCACAAACACTAGAACTAAAAGATATGGGAATCATATCACTCATTCTCCCAAACATGAACAGTCATACAACTCTTTTTCAAACAGTCACTATTTCATAATAACTTTTTAGTAGTGTCTTTGTTTCTTTTTAATCTGAGCTGCATTCCAGTCTACCTTACTTTTTCTATACTGTTTCACTTATGTCTAGTAGTATATAATTTGGTGATTATAATCATAGATTCTGAAAGGCAGAAATGACTCTCAAGGCATTTAGTCCAAGCTCTTGTCCTCATAAAACCCAATTAAAATGGAATATTCCCTATGTATTTAAAAAATATTGACTGTACATGTGGTTTACTTCTATTGTTTAATTTCTGAAGCTCTAGGGTAAAAACAGAATATCTAAATTACAGAAAATGCAAAAAGCAACTCTTTCTGAAGCTAACACAGGCCAAGTTAAAACAGACTATCTAAATTAGAGAAAATGGAAAAAGCAACTCTTTCTGAAGCTAACACAGGCAAAGTTCTAGCAAGCTGATTACAAATATATATGCTTATTTAACAAAATTACTTACTCAGCCTACTCTACAACTGTGATTTGGATACAATTAAGTTCCAACCAAGAAAATGTTCTTTGTGGTTCATGTCCATGTAATAGTCACTCTTTACAATACAGTCTATGCTAGGGAAAGAAAAGACGCAAACCCAAGTCTTCATAGTTCTATCTTACTGAACAAATTATGCATCAGCATCCCTTACCTCTCCTACACAATAACAGACCTCAATATATCCCCCATTCAATCGTCTTCAGAAACTCAATTAAAGTAGGATATGAGAACAGAAGTAACAGTATAAACACACATAGACAAAAGATTTGTTTTCTTTTCCTCGTGTTTTATCTATCCATCTAAAAAGTTGGTACCCTCTTGTGTATACTATTTTAAAATGTGCCTGAAGCTCTTTTCCAACTCCAATTAACCTTTTTCATCTCATCAAAAACCCTTAAAAAAAAAAAAACTTCTATTATCTGTGAGACCTGTAAAAAAATAGTACCTATAAAAAGGAATCCAACACCTCTGTAAACTTCAGAAGCAAAATACTAATGTATTAAAAACTATCAGCAAGTCAGAATCCTATGAATATATTTCTTTACCTCAATTTTTCCACAGTGGGTTTAGCTGGTGTGCTACCAGCTGAGGAAAATCCATTGTCACTGTCTGAGGAATCTCCAAATCTTCGAGAAAGCCAGTCCCTTAATGGTCTATGGAAACATTAAGAATTCACTTTTAAAACTTGGCTTTACAAAGAAACTGACTATCAGAATTATGAAGGTTAGTTTTGTACTTCAAGAAACATGAACATACCTGATAAAGGGAATGGCCATAAAAAATTTGTTAGGTGCCAAACCAAGTTTGGATTTTGGGGTCATATCATTTCTATGACAGGGCAATTTCTCAATGGAGAACCATTCAATGTTCTGAAACACAAGAAGAAAATCAAGGAGTTTCTAAAAGCAATTTCCCACTTCATTCAATTGAGATACTGTCCAGCAACCCGAAAATACTTTCATTTACATACCCGAATTTCTCTTCTGGTTTTCGGGTTAAATTTTGTGTCTTTTGGAATTCCTGGAATGATGTACAAACGAGCAAGCTGGTCATTGATTCGAAGTTCAATGTAATCATCCTTACAAATATAATCTTTGATATCAAAACCAGTTTCTTCAAAGACCTGGAAATAATAAATTTGAATGATGATTTTCAATTTTTACTGTTACACCTCCAGTTCATTAAAATCTGTTTATTTCAAAGGCAAAAATTCAGAAATATTCAGGCAACTAAAGGCATGCGAACACTAGGCAGAAAGTCAGAATATTCCAGGGTCTAGTTCTGGCTCTGCCTCTACTTAACTGTTCAACCATGGAAAAACTTCTTTGCATATCTGAGCCTGCTGCTTCACCTATTCAATGAAGGGAGATGTGTGGTATTGTTATTTACAATAAGAAATATATATTTATTTGGTCTTTGTCCCCATTTCTGATACAGAGCTTCTAAAACCCTTGGAATTTCCTAAGTGGTGAAGGCAACAGAGGTGTCTTTTGTTATGTTAACAAGGTGACTTTTGGACCCCAACAAAGAATGGGGGCTGGTTACCAGAAGAACCAACCATGTGATTAGGGGTTTGGAATTTTCAGTCCCACCCCTACCTCACCTCACTCCCTCCTCCAGGGGGAGGAGAGGCTTGAGATTGAGCTCAATCGCCAGTAGTCAATGATTTAATCAATCAGGCCTACATAATGAAGCCTCCATTAACCCAAAAGAATGGAATCCAGAGAGCTTCTAGGTTGGTGAACATGTGCAATTTGGGGAGAGTGGTGTGCTAGAAGGCAGCAGGGAAGCTCCTCGCCCTTGCCCCATATTGCCCTATGCATCTCCTCCATCTGGCTGTTCCTAAGTTACATCCTTTTATAATAAACCAGTGATCTAGTATGTAAAATGTTTCTCTGAGTTCTGTGAGCCACTCTAGCAAATGAATCAAAGCCAAGGAGGGAATCATTGGAACCTCCAATCTATAGCCAGGCAGTCAGATGCACAGGTGACAACCGGGACTTGTGATTGGCATCTGAAGTAGAGGACAGCCTTGTGGGACTGAGCCCTTAACCTGTGGCTCTGATGCTATCTCTGGGTAGAGTATCAGAATTGAGTTAAATTGCAGGACACTCAGCTGGTGTCTGAGAATTGTTTGTTGGTGTGGGGAACCCCCACACACACGTTCTAATTGGGCCCAGAACTCTTAAGATGTTAGAATACATCAGATTATGTTTGAACACTAACATTTAAATGGACAGATTCCAAAAGTACAGCACAACCACATTTGTGTGCATGTGTGTGTGTGTTGGGGGCGGTTGTAATTGTAAACGCAAAAGAACTGAAAACTAGTGAACTGGATTAATGTTCTAAAACTGCCTTCGCTCAGTAGTGCCTCGAGGGCTGGGGGAGGAAGAACAGAGAGAACATAAATCTCAGGAATTAATGCTAAATCTAACTCTCACCTTTTCTTCCACCAGAGAGGCCATGCTTAATCTGATTAACATACCAGGCTTCTGTTTAAAATAAAAACCACTGGTCTCTTCTAGCCTTAAAGTTCTCCTTCCAATACCGTTTGTATTACTCTGACCAAGTCCTTCCCCATTTCACCCCCCAAATCAAAAAGGCTTTGGATGCTTAGTGGCGGTAGAAACCACTGTGGATCTTTTATGCTGGAGTTCCTCTTCTTCCCTCTAGTTTCAGCATCTCCTAACCAATCAGTGGGACAGAAAACTTTAAAACACATGCACAAGCATGAATCTCTTGCAAGGTACAGGTGTAGAGGAGCTATTTCTACCCATTCCTTTTGTCTCTTCCCCGTTTCTCTTGTCAGTTCATGTATATCTTTCTACCTTCCTCAATGAGGGCACATCTATACTTCTCTGAGGCATGTGTAGTCTTGACTCCCAATTTAAGCTCCTCCATAAGACCTAACTCATTTCTATCACCATTTCTGTATACTCCTCAGTACGCTCAATTTTTTGTTCCTAATTTTAAGAACTAGGTGAATATGCTCACTTGAAAATTGTTCTACTGTACATTATTTGTCTTTCCTACTTCTGGAAATGACAGACTGGGTACAGAAGTACATATGTGATATTGAAAGAAAGAAAGAAAGTTAACATGCCCTGTGCTTCTTTATATCTACATTTAGTGTTATAGGTATATACAGAAACTGTCTATTGTAGAGGTGATCGCTGACATTCAGACATACCAACACTATACATCTTTTCCAGAATAAAATTCTGAAGGCTCAGTGATCGAGGTGTCATGGTTTCCCACTTCCCCAAATCTTAACATTTATATACATAAGACAATGTAATTAAACCATCAATCATGTAGATTTACTTCACAAGCCATGTATGCTATCTGAATGTTTCCATTAAAGCAAAAGTCCAAATGCTCTGGTTTTCCTTTTCTTTGAAACTAAGGTCTACGTTACTGCTTGAGACAGTGCTTAAAAATATTTTTGATTAGGGGCCGGCCTGGTGGTGCAAGCGGTTAAGTGCGCGCGCTCCACTGTGGCAGCCCGGGGTTCACCAGTTCCGATCCTGGGCACGCACCAACGCACCGCTTGGCAAGCCATGCTGTGGCGGCGTCCCATATAAAGTGGAGGAAGATGGGCATGGATGTTAGCCCAGGGCCAGTCTTCCTCAGCAAGAAGAGGAGGATTGGCAGATGTTAGCTCAGGGCCGATCTTCCTCGCAAAAAAAAAAAAAAAAATTGATTATAATGCAATTTTGATGGATATTAGATTTATAACTGTAACAATTAAGACTGGTTTACCTAAAAGTTTACACATCAATGATACATGAAATTATTTCTCTTCATCGAAGGCTCCATTAAGAGAGTCAAAAGCAAAGACATAAACCAGAAGACATTCACAATACACTCAAATGCAGAATGTGTTAAAAAGTCCTATATATCAATGAGACAAGTAACTCAACTTTAAAAAAAATGGGTAACATATAAGTGGGTACTTAATAAGAGGCCATTCAAATAGCCAACAAGAATATGATAATGTGCTCAACATCATTCAACTTCAGGAAAATGCAAATTAAAAGCACAATATACCATTATATTTCCATCAGAATAGCTAAATTTTTTTTAATTGAGGTATAATCAACATATAACACTATATTAATTTCAGGTGTACAACATAATGATTCAATATTTGTATATATTGCAAAATGACCATAAATTTTTTTCTAGTTTTACTGAGATATAATTGACATACATCACTCTATAAGTTGAAGGTATACAGCATAATGGTTTGACTTTCATATATTGTAAAATGATTACCACAGTAAGTTTAGTTAGCATCCATCTCATATAGATATATAACAGAAAAAAAATTTTTTTTCCTTCTGATAACTCTTAAGTTCTACTCTCTTAACAACTTTCATACATATCATACAGCAATGTTAATTAGTTATCAGGTTGTACATTATATCTCCAGTAATTATCTATCTTATAACTGGAAATTTATACCTTTTGACCACCTTACTGCAATTCGCCCCCATCCCCGCCTCTGGTAACCACAAATCTGATCTCTTTTACTATGAGTTTGGGTTTTTTTCTTTTAGATTCCACATATAAGTGAGAGCATATAGCATCTGTCTTGCTCTGTTTAACTTATTTCATTTAACATACTTCCCTCAAGGTCCATCCACGTTTTCGCAAATGGCAAGATTTCCTCGTTGAACAATATTTCATTGTGTATATAAGTATATATAGAGAATGCAAATATATATGTGTGTAAATAAATATTGTGTAAAGTATCTGTGTAAATATATATATAAATCACAACTTCTTTATTCTTCCATCAATGAACACTTAGGTTGTTTCCATGTCTTGGCTATTGTAAATAATGCTACTACAAATATGAGGGTGCAGATATCTTTTCAAGTTAGTGCTTTCATTTCCTTTGGATATATTCCCAGAAGTGGAATTGCTGGATCATACGGTAGCTCTATTTTTAATTTTTTGAGGATGCTCCAAACTGTTTTCCAGAATGGCTGTACCAGTTTACAATCTCAGCAAAAGTGTACAAGGTTTCCCTTCTCTCTACATCCTCGCCAGCATTTGTTACCTTTTGTCTTTTTGATAATAGCCATTCTAACAGATATGAGGTGATATCTCATTGTGGTTTTGATTTGCATTTCCCTAATGACTAGTGATGTTGGTATCTTTTCATGTACTTAGTGGCCATTCATATATCTTCTTTGAAAAAATGTCTATTCAGGTCTTTTGCCCATTTTTTAACTGGATTAGTAGTTCTTTTTCTACTGAGTTCTATGAGTTCTTTATATATTTTGGATATTAACCCCTTATTAGATATATGGTTTGCAAATATTTTTTCCCATTCTGTAGGCTGTCTTTTCACTTTATTGATTGTTTCTTTTGCTGTGCAAAAGCTTTTTAGTTTGATGTAGTCCCATTTGTTTATTTTTGACTTTGTTGCTTGTACTTTAGGTGTCACATTCAAAAAATCAGTGCTGAGACTCATGTCAAGGAGTTTTTTTCCTATGCTTCCTCCTAGGACTTGCATGGTTTCAGGTCTTACATTTAAGTCTTTAATTCATTTCAAGCTAATTTTTATAAGTGGTATAAGATAGGGTTCTAGTTTCATTCTTTTACAAAAGTGTGAATATCCAGTTTTCCCGGCACCATTCCTCCATTGCATTTTCTCGGCTCCCTTGTCAAATATTCGTTGACTGTACATGCATGGGTTTATCTCTGGGCTCTTGATTCTGTTCCATTGGTTTATGTGTCTGTTTTTATGCCAGTACCATGCTGTTCTGATTACTATAGCTTTATAGTATAGCTTGAAATGAGGAAGTGTGATGCCTCCCACTTAGTTCTTCTTGCTCAGGTTTGCTTTGGCTACTCAGGGTCTTTCGTGGTTCCATATAAATTTTAAGATTGTTTTTTTCTACTTCTGTAAAAAAATGCCACTGGAATCCTGATAAGGACTGCACTGAATCTACAGATGGCTTTCGGTAGTATTGACATTTTAACAATATTAATTCTTCCAATCCATGAACACAGGATAAAATTTTTTAAACTGATAATTCTATGTGTAGCCCAGGAAAACCAAAACTCTCATATGCAGATGGTGGGAACATAAACTGGTACAACTAC